GATTACAGACAGCTAGGGATCAAATGCCACCAGTTTTTTCATCATATATTATTCTTTACTTGTTTTCCTTCTGTTTGACGATTTAAAAATTTGATATTCTATATGGTTATCTGTTTAAATACTCTGTGTAACATAATAAACAAAACCACCGTCACTAAAAAACGTTTATTACCACAGGTAATGTTACCTCCGTAAATGGGAGCTTTAATGCATGAGATATTTGCTTTACCAATTTGTCATTATGAAGCTCATCAATCAGGTCTCTTATTACTGTTTTTAAAAAACCTGCAACATGCACCTGCACTGCTTTTAAATGTTTATTTAAATAGGATAATTTATTTTTTCTTATTATGATGAGCTGAAAACACCCAAGGGAATTCTCAAATTGCTCTCTCCTAAAAAGGTAAAAAATAAAGGAACAACAAAAACCAAATGCTTGGGAGAATTTAAACTTTAAAATATAAATAGATGACTACAAAACTGAAAATATGATTATGTTCCCTAAATGAAAATTGCACATTACTGTCATAGTAAAATTATTAAATAAATACCCTCAAATTATTGTAGTATGTTAAGACTGTTTACTATTGGGCCCGACGAGAACAACATTGAGTTGTATTCCATGTTCTTCTAGTTTCAATTTTGCATTACTTACCTGCTGATAAAGGTATTCCCAGTAATCCTGTGTCATCAGTCTAAATAGAGAAAGGAAGGCCCAACCAAAGGAATCAAAACTTGTGTAACCGTAGTCTGGGTTATCTCCAGCTTTTAAACATATGTAGCCCTCCGGACATTTCCTGCAGTACACAGAGAGAGTATGCTGACCGATTTTGTTTCCTCTATGATCACAGTAACTGTTTAGGCAACATTCTAACATTCTCCTTTTTTAATGTTTTTTTTTTCAGCACTAGTGATCTTTTATTTTCTCATTTTTTTCAACAGTAAGTTGACAGGAAACATTCTTACCCAGCATAACTGCTGTTTCCACAAAGCAATGGATCTTTTTTGCCTTTCTGGATATAATAATTATCTGAAAGGGAAAGAAGTTAACAATAATTTTATTTAGTTAAGGACTGGTGCTGTGAATATAGGTATTTTAGGAGCAAATAAGTCATATTAAGTTACAACCATAAATTAAACAAAGAGGTGCAAGTTCTTTGCCAGTAAAAAAACACACAAAATGAGGACAATTCTGCCCTACTAAGAAGTGGTAAGGTCATAATGGGGGAATTATAAATGCTTTAGTCTCCCAAAGGTGTAGGCCATGAAATTTACAATAACTCTTACATTTTCAAAAAACAGAACATCTGGTCTGGGTACAGTAGAAGAATACTTCCACTTCATTATACAGAAACATGTCCAATATATAAAAGAAAACAACAAATAGCTGTTAAATAAAATTCTCATGTCTCTTCTGTTCTAGAGTTTTTCCTTAAGGTCTTGGTCAGAATATGTTTCTTTTTAAGTAAAACAGAAAATCAAAGACTTACTCTTGTTGCTTTTCCATTCGGTGTCATTAAATGGCAGAGACATATTATTTGGATTCACTATGCACTTATTCCTCAAGTGTCCCATAAACAGCTGTAATCCAACAAGTGCAAAGACGCTCAAGCAAAAAACGGTCAGGATCATAACATTAGCAAGCTTCTTTACTGACTGGAATAATGCACCGACAATTGTCTTTAGACCTGCAAAAGCAAAACAATAATATCAAAATTTTTGATATAATCTACAGTATAGTAAAAAGCCCCCCTTACAAATTTCTACAATGTTTGCTTTTTTGTCATACTCAGATCCTCAAGCTAATTTTAATGTCAGACATAGACAACCTAAGTTAAATACTAATTTTTTTATATTGATTTTATTAAAGGAAAAAAGATACCAAATCCAACCTTGTCCTACGCGGAAATATAATAACCCCCAATATGTCAGTGTTCATGATTTAACAATAAGAATAAGACTGGGTAAAAATTGCAAAGTTCCAAGGCCAAAACCACCACAGACCATAACTCTTCTTAAAAGTGTAAAAGTGCATTTTGTATTTACTGAGGTTATCTTAGTTTGATATTAAAATCTGAAATATTTAGGCGTGACAAAAAAGCAAAAACTGAGATCAGTATTGAAGGACGATTGGTACTACAGGGGTGATGGTTGAGCAATGACTGTCATGCACTTTTTTCTGCTGCTTACCTGGAATTACTGAAATCGCTTTTAATGTTCTGAGCACCCGAAATGTGCGAAGAACTGAAAGACTTCCCATTTCGGCAAATTCAGTTACATACCTGAAAAAAAACCCAGTATTTTGTCATAGTTATTTTCTGATTTGTTCACAAAACCACATTAACATTTGGGGAACAAATACTAAAAATGTGAGAAAACTATTTTAATTGTTATGACTGTGTAATATTTTACTTCTAACAAAAATATAAAGTGCCATCCTGTTTAAATATTAAATAGATTTTAAATTTGGCAAAAATTAACAGACGATTAAAAAAATGTATTAAAAAATCTGAATTTTATTCTTGTTAGCTGTCAGAGGCACACAAAAAATACAACAAAACATCTTCTGAACCAAAAGTCCTGGAAAACAGATACAACCACTGTGCTTTAAGGTTACTTTAGGAAATTTGGTGACATGTTGTACTTACGCCAAGACAATGACACAGAAGTCCAGCCAGTTCCAGGGATCTCTTAAAAATGTGAACTTCCCTATGCAGAATCCTCTTGCTAAAACCTTAATTATGAACTCAAAGGTGTAGATTGCAGTAAATGTATACCTGTTGGACAAAGAAATCCTTCACTGGCAAAATTCATGAGCAACCATATGTGAATAAATTGATGAATGGATCAATAACTCACTCTACTGGCTTTGCCCATTCTGGTTGTTTATGGAGAGTCATAAATCCAGAGTTGATGAGAATAGTACACATGATCAGCATGCTGAACATCTTACAGGCAGGTGTCAAGGAAGTTTCTAAAAATATGTTAAAGGTAGCATGTTTTTTTCTGTATGAATCTGTATGAATCGATTGAATTGACTTAGCCCATTTTAGGGAATTTAAGGTACCCACCTTTCACACAATGCAACAGGAAACAACAATCGCCAATTATTTTTACCTATGTCTTCCTCCCTCCCTGTTGGATGGAGTAAGGGGGAGTCAGGTTTAGCCTAAAGGGGCTCAGTTATGGTTGAGGTGCAGACACACCCTCCATTTCTGCTACCTGTGTGACCCCTTTTCTTTTCCAATGGTTATAATCAGTCGGACAGAGAGAGGTACCCCTAATCCTTCTGGTTTTTAGTATAACAATGCCACCAGTGGGCTCTAGATGGACCAACTTTATCAGTTTATTATTTTACTTAGTACCCCTACACATAGCCCATTCTAAAATGGCCAAACACTCAGTAGTTTATTCTAACCTCTCCAACAACTCTACACCTTTCCAAATCCTCTGTGAAGTGCCTTGAGACGACATGTGTTGTGAATTGGCGCTATATTAATAAAACTGAATTGAACTGAAATTGGGTGAGGCAGCCTTTCTCCATTTTAAAAGAACTAGGCACCACGCTAACAGAGTCAAAAATGCAATAACCTTGTGACCCCCATAGGGTAAACTTAATCCTTCAGGGGCAACCCCAAAAAGTAACATTAGTGGGTTTGGGGTTATTGTAATGGTGAGTACAACAGAAAGTGCTTGACAGATACCACTCTAATATATTTTTATTTTGGGACTAAGCAAAAACATATATTTACATAGCCCCCTCAGATTTACACCTGTCACATGTCAGGTCACTCTGAAGATAAATTATGGACTATTTAGATTTGTGAAGGTGTGCCCGGTGTACCACTTTGCACTGGATAGGAGAGTGCAGGGGCGTTTTCAGGGTCTCAAAACATTGGGGGCTTTAGCCCAAATCCAAAATATTTAGATTTCAATAAGACAATTTATAGGTAATTTAAAATTAAAATAATATAGGACATATTGTACCAGTTCTCTGTCTCGGCTGGTTTTAGACTGACTGTAAATTATTGTGAACCAAACAAAAAAGGTTTGCAATAATTTTACTTTTTATTTTTGTTAGAAGCTGAATGAAGGACAAGGAGGAACAGAGTTTAGACCTGATGAAAAACCATTTTGCTGAAGCAAATAATGACACATTTTGAGGTATTTAGAAAAGAACTTTATCAGAATTTTTGCTGACAAACATTTTTCTTAAACTCAGATGTTTACTTTGGGCAAGATAAAAGTGCTTCTTTTGTCATCTACATAAATTACCTTTTTAAACGTTACACTCTCATCAAAGTGTTACACTCCTGAGGCTCCATTGTCTTTATTCTTATATTTCAAAAAAGGAAAATGGTATAAAGTTGATTTTCCTAAATCTTAGTCAAATGGTAAAATCCTAAAACACATTTATTTTATTATGCCAAGAGCTTTCGAAACATTTTATTAAAATTATTCCTTCTTTTATGAACCTGTTCTCTTTTATCGCCATGTTTTCAGCCATTCATTCCACTTTTGAAGAAATTTAGCCTGCCAAAAATAATAAAAGAAACATTTTTCAACACAGTCTTTTGTTCTGCACTGAGCATGTGAGACATTAGTGCAGTTCTTACTATTAAACACTTTGAGAGGAAAGGGTGTTAAGTTGTGATGTTTAAAATATAGCATAGAGCCTCATCCTGGACCTTATCAGTACTAACATTACAGTTATTAATAACTGTATACACATGGTATCATTGTTTAATTAGTTAACTAATCAATGGCCCACCTGTGATTAATTGCTATGATTTATTTGAATACTTGTGCACTTTGCCTTCATATGACAGCTAAATAGAATACATGTCAAAAAGAATTTATATCAGATACACTGATTTTTAATTGTAAAAACAATATATTTAAGAACTTTAGGAAACAATTAGGGCTAGGGCTAGACTTCAGTTAGCGTTTTGATTCCAAGTTGAGACACATAAATTACAACAATTCCCACTGGAGGCGCAGCGCTGGTGGTGTAGGGGTTAAGCGCGCGACCCTATATAGAGGCCATAGTCCTCCATGCGGCGGTCCCAGGTTCGAGTCCTGGACCCAGCGACCTTTGCCGAATGTCTCCCCCTCTCTCTGCCCCTCTTTCCAGTCTGCCTACTGATGAAATAAAAAGGCCTCTAAAGCAGAAAAAATATCTTACAAAAAAAATTCTGGCTGGAACCCTAATATTCAAAGTAACCGAAACAAACACAGGTGAGAGGTTAAGGTCTTAGTATCAGTGGTTTGAAAACTACAGAAAATCAGTGAACAGATGCAAAATGTTAAGGCGGCCAAAAAGATCTAGGAATAGCTTCTGTAGCAGACTGATGAGCTATTTTAAACTGTATTGATGTATATAAATGATCAGTCTCATAATTTTAGATAATCTGCCAATCAAATCTGCCATTACAATTTTCAGTAAAACTAAGAAATTAGAGCACTTTAGAGTTCTTAAAGACCTCACACTGGCTCCCTGTATCTCAGAGAAAAGACTTCACAATACTTGTGTTAGTTTATAAGTCACTGGAATGGCTTAGCACCAAATATCATTAAATATTTATTGCTCTTATATCAACCTTTTAGACCACCCAGGTCTTCTGGCTCTAGCTACTCTGCATCCCCAGAATCAGAAGCAAACCTGGAGAAGCAGCATTAAGTTCTTAGCCTCCACTAATCTGGAACAAACGTCCAGAAAACAGTTAAAAAGGGGAAACCCTGAGTTCTTTTAAATCAAGGCTAAAACCCATTTGTTTTAGGTTTTTGGGGGGCCAGGATCTCCCAAACGTTTTGGGGCGTGGTAAGGCGTATTCGTCACTTCCTGTTTTTCCTTGGTGGATTTTTTGGTGTGTGAAAGGTCTCTCGTTTGATCTGATTTCTCTCTACTTTGTTATATTCTTACTTGTTATAATACATAAGCACTTTTTAAAACACATATTTTCCTTTGTTTCCTGTATTTAACTTTTTGGCGACTCTCCGGGTTTTACACGGTTTTTTTTCCAGTAGTGGTAAGGGGGGGTCGCTAGCTTAGCGTTAGCTTTAGCTCCCCCCAGGCTACCCTTTTCCCTTTTTTTCTCTTTCTGAGTCTCCTCCTCTCTCTTGGCCTCTGTGTCAAAATGTTCAGTTACTCCTCTGCCTCCTTTAGTGATAATGGTTTTACGTGTAAAAAATGTAGCATTTTTTTTAGCTTTGGGAGGCAGAGGGTGTCGGATTTGGGGGCCCCGGCTCCGCGCTGTTTAAAAAAACCAGCAGATAGCCGAGGCCCCTTAGCCAGCGCGGAGCCCCCCGGGGGTTTTACCCCCCCGTAGCAGCCCCCTCCGGCAGAGCCCCGCGGGCCGGGATCTCAGGCCGGGCTGGGTGACGGTACATAGAAGAATAGTCTTAGATCTCAGCCCACAGGTCCCCACCAACCCGTCTGCGTTTTTCAAATATTTTCCCCCGCTCAGCGACACACCCCGCTGAGAACCCAAAACTCTGGTAATTGCAGCTCCATAGTCAGAAACGGGGCACTAGAGAAACCAACCCCAGCGACCATAGTAAAAATGTCTGCCAGGGGCCAGAACGGGCGACATCAAATCCTACCTGAAAACTGGCCGGCTAAGGATAAGCGAAAAAATACAGTAAGTTTTGTTATTCACGCTGGCGGTAATAAACCCCCCGGGTTTTACCTTTGGGAGGTCACTAAAGTTAGTGTTGCTTCGGTTGTGTAAATTTCCCAAAAACAATGTCGGACTCCGTAATTTTTTCTCTGGTCCCCTCCCCGATCTGACCAGTGACGACATGTTTAGCCGCATGCTGTCATTCAACCGCTGGCTGTCTTTTTTGGGGGCTCCAGAAAACGATTGTGGGCTACATTGATAATTGGCGAAATTTTGGGGAAAAAACCTGGTCTATCCGGAGAGACGGCATTCCATCTTACTTTGGATGGAGCAGCTCTTCTTTCTAGGAATCTGGCCCGAATTTTATTAGTTCTCCAAACCCTCTCTGGACAACCCCAGGGTTCAGACCAGGGAAGCAGGGTCGTAGTTTAACACTCCTCTCTGCAGCTTCTGTACTGCTACCCACCCATTACCCTATTAAGCACAGTGTCTCCCCCCACGGCCCAAAAATTGAATAGAAAAAAAATAATCAAAAAAGAGGAAATCAGGAAAAATCCTCAAAAAAAATAAACCCAACTCAGACTCAAAATAAAAATAAAAAAAATTAAATGGGGCTTACTGAACATAAGATCTTTTTTTCTTCAAAGACTTTGTTTAAGTTAGTGACCTGATTTTGGTGACAATCGAATTGTTTTTTTTTTTGCCTCACAGAAACCTGGCTGCAGCAAGAGGATTATGGTTACTATAAATGAGTCAACTCCTAAAATTATTTAAATTTTCCATTCCTCGAAATACTGGGGAGTGAGGAGGAGTAGCAACCATTTTTCATTCCCGATTTATTGACTAGTCCCCCCCCGGGGAAACCAATCAATAGCTACAACTCTTTGAAAAATTTAATCCTCAGTTTTCCCTCATCCAAATGCAAAGCACTAAAACCACTTCTCTTTTTTGGGTTGTTTTGTACCGTCCACCAGGCCCCCTTTCTCTCAATTTATAAAATCAGTTTTTTCAGACCTTTTATCTGATTTAGTTTAAATACAGATAAAGTTTTTATAGTGGGGGATTTTAACATTCATGTTGACACTGAAAGTGATAGCTTAAATATAGCCTTTTAATGGTTTTATCTTAGACTCAATTGGCTTTACTCAAAACATTAAAAAACCTACCCCTTTTTGTTTTCATTCCTCTGGACCTTGTGCTGACATATGGCATTGAGTGTACAGACATTACAATATTTTCTCAAAACCCTTGTGCTGCCCGACCTTTTTTTAATAACCTTTGAGTTTAAATTTAACAGAGTATTTCCCACACCTGAAAGAAAATTCATTATAGTAGTATCATTATCAGACGATGCTGTAAAAACCTTTTTAAAGAATCTGTTCCACTTTTAATTTGTTTAAATTTATCACAAAAAAACAGAGTGGGGGGAAAATTTTTTTTTCTTCCCCTTCACAAATTGATTCTCTTGTTCAGAGTTGTTACTTCATCATTGCGTGGTCTTTTAGACAATGCCCCCCTTGAAAAAGAGGGAAATTATTCATAGGGCAGGCTCCCTGGTTTAATTCAGAGCTGTGTACTTTAAAGCACAATGTTAAAAAATTGGAGCGAAAATTTTGGCCCCCTCTACCACCCCAAAGGGGGAATTCCTACTTAATCTGGAAAAATAGCCTACTGTTGTAAAAAAGACACTTCACCAAGCCTAGAACAGCTTTTTTTCTCATCCTTAATAAAAAGAAAACCCCAAGAATAATCCTAGGTTTCTCTTTAGTCCCATTTTGTAAACTTACACAGAGTCATAGTTTCTGTTGAGCCACCCTTTTCCCTTACCTCTCAGCAGTCATGATTTTATGGGATTCTTCCCAAAATAAAATTGATTCTATTAAGAAAAAATCTTTGGACAATCCCCCAGAGATGATTACTTCATCCTCAAAAAGTGAGACAACATTGGAAAAAAACCCTGTAGAACCTGATCTGTGTTTGGGACTTTTTTGATCCTGGGGGAGCTTCCCCCTGAGTTATCAAAAAAATATTAGCTTTATCAAAACCTTCATGTTAGACCCAATCCCAAACCAAATTATTTAAGGAAGGGGTTTCCCTTCGGGATTACCACCCCATTTTAATTTGTTTAATCTATCCTTAGTAAATGGATTTTAAACCCACAAGCTTTTAAGGTAAGCTGTAATTTAAAACCCCTTTGCTTAAGAAACCTTCGCTTGATCGAGATGACTTAATAAATTACCGGGACCGATATCCAATCTTCCCGGTTTTTTATCTAAAATTCTTGAGAAAAAATAGTTGCTAATCAAATGTGTGGGCATTTACACACCCAAAATGACCCTTTTTTGAAGATTTTCAGTGGGTTTTCAGAGCTCATCATAGGCCTAAAAACAGCTCTGCTGAAAGTCACTAATGGTATATTCTTATGGCCTCAGATAATGGACTTGTGTCTGTACTGGTTCTGTTAGATCTCAGTGCTGCCTTTGATACAGTCGTTTAATAATTTCTCTTAGAAAGGCTGGAATATGCTGTAGGGTTCGGGGAAAACAGCACTAGGCTGGTTTAAATTTTATTGTCTGACAGATTCCTTTTTGTTCATGTAAAGAAAATCAATTCTTTAAATCCAGGGTTTAAATTGTGGAGTACCACAGGGTTCAGTATTTGGGGGGCCCAAATTCTCTTTACTATATATATGCTTCCAATAGGTTTTAAAATTATCAGGCAGCATAGAAAAAAATTTTTCACTGTTACGCTGATGACACTCAGCTTTACTTATCCAAAAAATCTGATGAGCCCCCAAACCCATTAGATAGACTACAAAAGCATGTCTTGAAGACATTAAAACTTGGATGACTTTAAAAATTTTTCTGCTTCTAAAATTCAAAAAGACAAAAGTTGTCGTTTTTGGACCGGAGTCCTTAAAAAAAGAAACTGCTTAGTCAATCACTTAAAACCTGGATGGCATTAAATTGACCTCCGAAAAAAAAAAGTAAAAAAACCTTGGTGTTTATTTTTTTTTTTCCAGGACATGTCTTTAAATCCCATATTAAAAAAGGTTTTTCCCGGGTTTCCCTTTTTTCATCTCCGAACATTGCCAAAAAATTAAAAAATCCTGTCCAGGTTGATGCTGAAAAAAATTTTGTCCATGCATTTGTTACTTCAAGGCGGGACTATTGTAATTCTTTACTATCAGGGGGTGCCACCAAAATGCAGTTAAAAAAGCCTTCAGCTGATTCAAAATGCTTGCAGCAAGAGTTTTGATGAAAAATTTAAAAAAAAGGGGATCATTTTCCCCCTACTTTAGCTTCCCTTCATTGGCTCCCTGTTAAACCAGAATAGAATTTAAAAATTTTCCCCCCTCACATATAAAGCCCTTAATGATTTAGCTCCATCATACATCAGAGAGCTGATTGTTTCCATATGCTCCTAACAGAGCACTTCGTTCTCAGACTGCAGGTTTACTGGTGGTTCCCAAAAT